AATCACAGGAATCGATTCAGAGACATCAGAAGCGTCCGCCTGTCGCATGCAGAGGTCTGGATACTCGAGTTAGGTGTGTCAAACTATTTTTCGATTTACGCACGTAACTCGGGCTGTAGGAGAGCTACAGAGCTCGTATAGAAGACAATCCAGAAGCATTGGGGGCGGTCGGCTGTTGCATCCGAGAGCTCTGAAATTGGCTGGGATGAAAAACTATTTTTTCTGTGATGTTTTTTTCGACATTATATGTTGTCAGGAAGCTCTACGAGTCCCCCGGCGGTAACCAAGGTTGACGGTTTACCGCCGGCGCCCAGTTCATCTTGCCGAAGAGCTCTACGAGGTACTAGCTCCACTCCGCGCCGGAATTCCTCTAGCTCATCGATGCCGAAGAGCTCTACGAGGTATCCAAAACCCTATAGCTCTCAGAGAGAAGCCGGACCGTGGTGATTCCTGCCAGCAGACCATCTCTGCCGCTCCACGGTCCGCGCAGCAACTCGCCCGTACCGGCAACGAGTTCGGGGGCGCTTCCTGCGCGCGTCCACGAGTGCCTGCACGCGTGCAGGCACGCATGGAGGTGTGCCCGGCAGCGTGTTTGAAGCGCTTCACGGGTGCCCCGAGAGCTCTCCAGCAAAGATTTCCGGTTCCTGAGGGTCTCTTCGCTCTCTGGTTTCCCGTCCCCGAGGGTCGCTTCGCTCTCCGGGTTTTGGACGCTACCAAGTGTGAACTTGAGCTAGAGGGTTTTAGATTAGATGCCGGACGGTGGCGGTGCCTGCCAGGAGCTCCTCCACGGCGGTTCACGTCCGCCGCAGCGACTCGCCCGTGCCGGCAGCGGGTCTGGGAGCGCTTCCGGCACGCGTCCACGCGTGCCTTTTCGCGTGCAGGCACGCATGCGGGCGTGCCTGGCAGCGCTTTCGAAGCGCTTCAGGGGAGCCCCCCAGATCTTTCCAGGAAAGCTTTCCCGTCCCCGAGGGTCTCTTCGCTCTCCTGGTTTTGGCGCTGCCAAGTGGACGCTACTAAGTAACTCGTAGAGCTTCCCTTAGCTAGTTGATGGAAGGCTCTTCGGCATCGGTGGAGTAGTTGGCCCACCGGGCCCGGGCGGACAAAGTGATAACTTTTGGTCGGTTTTCCTGGATCGCTCCTTGGAGAGCTGAGGGTTTCAGAGAAGAAGCCGGGGGTGGATGGTGAGGAACACGCCCACCTCCGCCGGTCCAGGATCCTAGCAGCGACTCGCCCGGGGTCGCAGCGGGTCCGGGAGCGCTGCGGGCACGCGTCCACGCGCGCCTGCACGCCTGCAGGCACGCGTGGAGGCGTCGCTGGCCTCGCTTGCGGAGCGCTGTAGAAGCGCTTCAAGGAGCTCCCTACCTTCTTGAGGGAGGCTTTCCTGAGGTTCCTGAAGGGCTCTCTGAGAGCTAGAGGGTTTTAGCTTGTAAGCCGGACGGTGGTGGTGCCTGCCAGGAGCTCCTCTACGGTGGTCCACGATCCTCCTCGCCCGGGGTCGCCGCGGGTCCGGGAGCGCTTCCGGCACGCGTCAACGCGTGCATGCACGCGCGCAGGCACGCATGGAGGCGTGCCTGGCAGCGCTTTTGAAGCGTTTCAGGGGAGCCCCCAGAGCTCTCAAGGAAAGATACCTCGTAGAGCTCTTCGGCAAGATGAGCTAGAGGAATTCCGGCGCGGGGTGGAGCTAGTAACTCGTAAAGCTCCCCTTAGCTAGTTGCTGGGAGTTTTTGCGTATCTCGTAGAGCTTCCCTTAGCTAGTTGCTGGAAGCTTAAGAGTAATACCTTGTAGAGCTCTTCGGCATCGATGAGCAAGAGGAATTCCGGCGCGGGGTGGAGCTAGTACCCCGTAGAGCTCTCCGGCATCGATGAGCTAGAGGAATACCGATGGCGGCATCCCGTTTTCATTACCGATGGCGGCATCTGCTGGGAGCTCATCCCGTAATGTAGTGGACGGTCTGATCAGCTATGACCACGACACGGTCAAGCTCAGTGATGAGAAGAAGCCGGACGCCCCAAGCTCACAGCACAGCTGTCTCATCGAACAGTGAAGAGACGATCCTTGTGATTGTGGTACACGGTCGACCCCCGTGTCATCAAGTTACGTGCGCTCATGGCCAGAGTACTGAGGAAGGCGAGCGCGCAAGTAAATGCTGCTCCCGCTGACTCTGTCAGTGGAGCGGCGGCATCCATAGAGTTCGCTCTGCGCTAATAATCTCTCCCTCGCAGTTGCCGGCGAGTTATTATGACGTGGGGCTGTCCGTCGAGCTCTCCCAGCAGCGTGTGTAGCAACTGTGTATGACGGGGCGTTTGGCAGAGCCCTTCTTTGCAGCTGTCCTTTTGTGGGGTGCTGTCAGCAGAGCACCTCTGCTTAATCTCACACTGTGGCTTCGTGTGCGGTTCGCGCGTGGGAACCGACGAGGGCCCGACGGACTGGTTGGAGCACTAGGCTCGAACGGTTTCAGTTAGGCCCATTTCACCCCTTCCTTGTTCTTTGGCGGTGCCATTTCAAAGGGTCGATCCTGCTGTGCCCGCCTTCTTCGCGCGTTCAACAGCCTTGATACTTCACTCCGTCTACATTTTTTCCCCCTTTTCCCCTCTTACACCCACTTTTTAACCAGTGCTGAGTTGGTCTTTGTCATACTCATCACTAGCCACACTTAGCCACCCACGTCTCCGGTCCATGACAGTCGCATTCGTTCGTATTCAGACTCACTTTTTGCAGGCCCACATATGTCCAAAATCCATGCGCATTCACGTGCACGTGCGCTCTGAATGACGAGCTCAGAACCATGCAGACTTTCGAGCATTCATGTGCAGCTACGGCAGAACTTGCCCACGCTCTGTCACCATTTCCAGACCCTTTCACGCCCGCGTCTTACTCTCGGGCACGCCCATGTTCACCGCGATGAAGCAGGCGTGGCGCTTGGCCACGTCAAAGTGGAACCGCCAGCAAAAGGGGCACTTGTCCGTTCGCGGCGAGATGGTGGGGATCGCTCGAGCTGTTCGCTCTTGTTGCACCTCCGACATTTTTTCCAGAGCCCCATGGTTGCCGCGATGTACCAGCCATGCCGTTTTGGTTCCCCAGGATCGAACCGCCATACAAAAAAGGACCACTTGCTTTTGCGCTCGAATTGTGGGGGTGTCTGGGGTGGTTCGCTCGTTTGGCGTTCCCTGTCTCTTCTGCGTTCAGAGCACCGGGTTCACCCCGATGTACCAGGCGTGCCGTTCGGGCACCCCAAGGAAGAGCCGCACTTGCCCGTTCGAGGCCCGATCTTGTGGGATCAGTTGAGCAAGGCGCTCGTTGGGAGTCGCCGGCTCCTACGCTTTGAGCGCCCGTTGTGATCACCGCGACCTCAGCGGTGGCCTTTTGGGCACCCCAGTGAGGATGCTGCCAGAGAGGGAGGCGGGTGCTCGTTCGCGGCCAAAGTGTTTTGCATTTCGAATGCCTATCTTGTGAGAACCCCAGGATCTCCGCGATGTAGCACGCGTGGCAGCTGGGCACCCCGCGGGGGAACCGCCAGGAGGTGTTACACTTGTTTGTTCGCGGACAGATCGTTGGGACTTTCTGTGCAAAACGCGAGTTTTGGCGCATCCGATCCCGTTTCTGCCAGAGTATGAGTATCTGGCACAGCATTTGGGCACTCCAAAGGGGGAGCCTCCAGGGAAATGTCAGCTGCAACAGTCTGAAAACGTTCTCGTCCAGGCATTCTCGGAAGGAAATACCAGGAAATGATATGCACATATGTGGACGTCAACGTCGGATACTTGTCGTGCTCTCGCTCTACTGTCCGTGGCGTGGGCTTGCCGAAAAAAGGCTCGCTCGTGCTGCATTTCTGTGTTGCCTATCGTGTTTGTGTGCGCATGCACGGGCGTCGGCCGATATTTGCCGGGAGGTTAAGCCCTCTTTCCTTCCTATTTAATCGCTTCGCTCATTCTGCCGGCCCTGGAGCCCTCTTTAAGGACTCTTAAGGGCCTCTTGGGGACTTCTTGGGAGTCTCTTGGGGCTCCTTGGCGACGTCTTGGGGGCCCCCAGGGCCTCTTGGGGGGCTCTTGGGGGCTTCTTGGGGCGGGAGGGGGGGTAGTCGATTGCGGCCCCCCCCTTGGAGGCCACGATCCTCGTGAGGGGTGTCGAAAAATTGCCTGGTCCGGCATCTCTGACCCGACCCTCCCCGGACCCTCCCGGAACTTGCCCGGGGTACTTTTCGCCAGAGGACCCCAAGGGGCCGCCCCGCACGCGCGAACTTGACATTTTTTTTTTAACCAGTTACCGGAGATCTTAGCACGCCTCTGGCCCGTTGGGCCGGCGAATTATTCCTGCTTGCCTGTTGTCTTCCTGGTTTTCCTTTATCATAAGTGCTCTGGATTTCTATTCATCCTCCTTTCTCCCTCTGCGCTCCCCAGGCCATGCCTCCTCATCCTTATTTCTCCATTCTACGTCCTGCTTCCTGCTCCTACATCCTCCTTCCTCCATTTATTCCTTCCTCCTTTTGCCATCCTCTCCCCTCATTCATCTTGCCCTTCAATTGCATCCTCTTCCCCACTTCACTTTTCTCCTTCTCCTTCCTCATTTCTCCCTCCTTGCTCCCTCCTTCCTCTTCTCCTTGTTCCTCCTTCCTCTTCTTTCCTCCCTCTCTTCCTCGTTACTCATTCCTTCATCGTCTCCCGCACATGCTTGCTTCTCCCCCACTCCCTTCTCCTCCTCTTCTCTTCTCCCTCCCCCTCGTCCCCTCCTCCCGCTCCTTCTCCTCCTCCTCCTTCTCCTCCTCATTCTCCGCCTCCTCCGCCTTCTCCTTGCGTCCTCTCTCCTCCCTCCTCCTCCTCATCCCCGTCTTCGCGCCCTTCGGTCCTCACCCTGCTCTCCACTCCTCCTCCTCCCCCTCCCCCTCCTCCTCCTCCTCCTCCTCCTCCTCCTCCTCCTCCTCCACCTCCTTGCGCCCTCCCTGCGCCGTCCTTCCTCCGTCGGCCCCCCCGTCGCCTCTGCGTCTCCCGCTGGCGGCCGCCGCAGCTTTTTGGGCTGCACGCGACCCCGCCGTCATTCTCCCCCCGCTGCTCCTCGCGCGCTGACCTGGACCTCCGGCGCCGAGCTCCACTGCAGCGTGGACCCCTTGAGGTCTCGACCCCTCCTCCAGGACAGCTCTCTCGTCCAGTGCGGTTGTTTCGTGACGACCCCGGTGCCCCTGGGCAGGCCCCCCGAAGGCCGAACGTGGCCAGAAACCTCCCGCTGCATTCTTTCGCGACTCGCGTGTGGGTCCAGGCTGCTCGCGCCGCCAACGCCTGCCCGCGGCATGAGTTCCTCCGCGCGCGTGCGTGGCCCCGCCTCGGTCCTGGTCGCCGCCGCGGCGGCGTCGTCTGCGGCGGCGCAGCGGCTGCGCATCACAAATGGATGCGGCAAGGAACCGCTGTGGGTGGCCCACATGGCGGGAGCAGAGGACGTCAGGAGGTGCCAACTCATAGATGTGGAAGTGGATACCGATACCGATGCCCTCCTGGACCTCCTGCGGGGCCCTGTCGACACGGCTGGATTCGCCTTGGAATCCTGATCTGAAGGCGCCCATGGAGAGGTCTGGGTAGCAGTGTCATACATACCCTTTTGCCCGCCCCCCCTCCCCCCAGGCTCCAATCCTAAGCTGTTCCTGACCAAGCTCATTTTAGGTCGAGGGATCGGCGCAGAGTCTTCCTGGCCAAGCCAGAAGCACTTTTGCACCGCTCCCTGGCCCAGGACTGGTCTGGCCGGGCCAGGACCGAACTCGGTGTACAGTTTGTGACGTCCCAGGACGGCCCCGACCCACAGAATGCGAAGCTGGGGCCCGGGGAGCACCGCGACTTCGACACCCACGACGGGCTTTCCGCCACCCGCTACTGGCCCAAGATGAGGTGCGACGATCAGGGCAACAGTTGCCTCATCGGCGAGAGCGGGGGCCCGGGGCAGGATTGCACGAACTGCGCCCCTCCGATCGACACCAAGTTTGAGGGCACATTCGGGACTGACCAAGGCATCGACTGGATCGACGTCAGCCTGGTCGACGGGTGGACCCTGCCGTTCAAGTTCAAGATGACCCTGAAGGGCAGCGGGAAGTGCAACGCAGGAGACGGCAACAGGAGCGTGATGACCAGTGTAGACTGCTCGACCCTGACGCTGGACAAGTGCCCCTCGCGCGAGCTCCTCAACTCGGAGCAGACGAACCTGCAGGTGATTCACCCGGACGAGGGCCAGGTTCCGGGGCAACGATAGGGGGCATACGGCTCAGGGGGAATGCATCGACCCCGCATTCAGCGCAGATAGTGGCCTGATAACCCACTCCGCCTAGGAATGAGTGGTTTAGCTATCAGGGGCCTGTCGCCGATCTGTAGGCGGTGTATCGCCGACTCCAGGTCGATGCCCTCCCCACTCTTTCAGGCAGTCTCCCCTCCCATTAGTTCCCCCTCGTAGGTTGTGGGTTGCTACAGTCCCTGTGCGAAGCTGACCTCCAACAATTGGGGCAACACGCTCGCGGACGGCGTCTCCCCTACGGACGACAAGGCGGTGGAGTACTGCTGCCCCACGCCTCCCGAATCCCCCGACGCCTGCCGCGCTGGCCCGGTCGAGAAGACCAGCTTCGTGAAGGCCGTGCACAAGAATTGCCCAGGAGTGTACGGCTACTCGTACGACGACGGCATGGGGCTCATCACATGCCCGAAGGATACGAAGTACGAGATGATCTTCTACTGCCCCGACGGGGACGGGCAGACGACGACGACGACGACGGTGCCCGCCAAGAAGAGCGTCGACCATAGCAAGGAGCTCAAGAACCATGGTGGCAAGACCAAGGGCAGCAAGGACCACGACAAGGAGAAGTCAAGCAGTTCGAGCGAAAGCGCCGAGCAGGTCGCCTTCCTGCTCGAGACGGAGCTGAAGTATCCGTTCCACGAGTACTGTGGCGACAGTTATTTGTTTCAGGGAGCTGTGTCGAGCCAGAGAGAGTGCCAGGACAAGTGCAGCGGGGACGATTCGTGTTCCTTCTATAGCTACTGGACCACTGGGCACGTGCCCTGGTGTGGGACGACGCCTTCTTGCGAGTACAGAGAGTCGGACAGCGTCGAGAACGTGACCATGTACAAGAAGGTTCGCTTCAGCGGGTCCAGCACCAGCCATGAATTGGCGCCGGCCGTTTGCTGCTTCGAGGACAGCAGCGTGGACGAGCCGTGCAAGGCAGGCTGCAGGAGCAGGAACGCGGTGAAGAACGGCTTCTGCGTGCCCAGGGATACATGGTGCGATACCTGCTCCGATGATAGCGTGTGCAGCGCCCCCATCGTCGACGCATCCCTTGCTGACGCTTCGAAGAAGAGCCAGCTCATGATCATGCGGAAGGACGCTTTCCACGCTTTCGTCAACGAGAGACGCGGCCGTGGCAGCACTTGGCGCTCGCCAGTTGTGACCCTGGTCTTCTCCACGGCTGCGCTGACAGTGGCTGCTGCGCTCGCGCTGAAAGTCAGGCGGGCTGTCGCCTGGCACAGTGCCACAGTGTTGAATGTGCTGCGTCAGGAGGGCCCCCGATCCGCCAGTCCTGGAACCATCGGCAGCACCAGCCCGGGCAGCACCATAGGTAGCCCCATGCCGCCGAGGTCTCCTTGAGGTGGCCCGTGCCCTCCCCCTGTCTCTGCGCCAGCCAGACATCCGACGTCGTGATTTCTGCGCAACGTGTCTCCCCAGAGGTCTGCACCCCTTCCCGGGGATCGGCCCTTCATCCCGAGTCGTCTCCTGACGGCCGAAGGTGCCCCAGAGGCCGACAATCGGCGAAAGTCTCACGTCGTGATCGTTTCACGACGCGAAGATATCAGGGCAGCCCGTCGTTGTCACATGTGTGCGTCGCCCTCCGGGGGAGCGTCGCGCGCACCGACAAACCTTCTGGTATCAGCTCCGTGGCGGGCGCTCTCTGGCCGTACCGCTCGGGAAGCGATACGTATCATCGGGGCGGACGCACGCCTCCGAGGAGAGTACACACAGTGCTAGTGGGTCATCCTTCCTCCGAGGAGGACGTGCAGAACTCTCTGCAGAGCTGGCTTCCTAATTGCAGCCCGTCTAGAGCCCAGCCGCTGTCGCGCCGCGAGGCTACCGCGCCTGCCCCGCCCCCGGCCCCGCGGCTTTGGCCGCCAAGCGCGTGCCTGCGGCCGCCGCCGCTGCTGCTCGGAGGAGACACAACGGCGCAGGCATCAGCTTTCGGAGCTCCGCGCGGATTCCTTGGATCTGTGCTGGGGCACCCTGTCGGCGCCACCCGGTGCCGCAGCTGGCGTTCTCCGCGAGCCAGGGAGGGGCATCGGCGCAGATCCAGGAAAATCTCGCGCGCACCTCGGACAGCTCATGCCTCTGCAGTTACCGTTTTTTCTTCTCCCAGCCAAGGCGCATTTTGCACGCCCTCCGCCAACCCCTCCCCGTCCTCGTCCCTCCCGCACACCTGCGGAATTCGGAGTAGCGAATCTAGCCTGGGAGCAGCCGAAGCCGCAGTGGCAGTCGAGGGTCGCTTCCCCAGGGTTGGGCTCCGTGCGTGCGGTCTGTCGGCGTCAGAGCCGGCCTCACAGAGAAACGCGCAATGTCCCAGGATTGAAGCTCCCTCGATGACCGCTGCGTCGGAGTGCAGGCAACTGCGACACCGAACTCGCCCAGACCCATCTCGGGCCCTGGACTGGTGTGTGGCTGTGTAGGCGGCTCTGCACACGAGTCCAGGGCCCAGGATTGGCCCTGCTGGGATCAAGCGAAAGCGCACATTCCAAGACGGCAGACGGAGTCGACAGATCACGCGGCCGTGCGAACATACGACTGGAGCTCCCGACGCCATCTCGAGCGGCACTCCTCGAGCGGCGCTTTGATCCGAAGGGGTCGGCGGCACCCGCTACGAGCCCCGGGCCCGCCCGCGGGAGCGAGAGAACCCTCGATGCTTTCGCGCGCCCCCCCGCGCGAGACGAGGCGACGCCCAGAGGACTACAAAAGAGGACCCCCGGGGGCACTCCAGCTCGTGCCTCGCGGCATCGGGGCGGACGCCTCGGGGAGCAGGATCGGCGCGCATGCCAATCCTTCTCCTCCTCCTCCTCCTCCTCCTCCTCCTCCTCCTCCTCCTCCTCCTCCTCCTCCTCCTCCCCCCCCTGGCCGGGCCAGGCAGGGGCGGCCTGCGCCGCTCCTGGGCCGGGAAGAGGCGCTGGCAGGGCCCGAGCACGGGCACGATCCCCTGCCCCCTCCTGGGTCGGGGGCGCAGGACTCGAGTTCGCTGGAGCTGGGGCTCGCCGAAGGTTTTGGACGGGCCCGTCCCGGGATTTTGACAGCGCGGCGGGAGGTCCCGTCGACTCTCAGACGGTTTCGTCCTGTATTTTGACACTGCAGTTTTTCCGTGGAACGCGCGCAGCGGGAGGTGTCCCGTCATTTTCCTGACGGCCCCATTAGGTCAACCTCAGCCTCCCGAATCCGAGTTTCACGTCTGCCCGACGGAGGGCAGGGCTTCGCCACGACGGAGAGGGGGCCCTTGAGGGGAACTGACCTTAGGTGCTGGGGCGTTCCCCAGGGCCAGCTCGTCGTTCTGAGCTGTGACTTGACGATCCCCCGGGTCCGTGGAGGGCCCTGGGGGCTCGAAAACGGCGGGGAACTGAAGAACCCCTTTTTCTCCAGGGCTCCCAACTGCGGCTGGAGTAGACGTGTGGCGAGAAACGGCGTCTCACCTTCGCCGCCCCGACGTCGCAGGTGCATCGGCGATGCATCGGCGATGCGTGGGCGATGCGGTGGGATCCGCCGCCGTCTACTCTGGCCCCCTATGGGCGAGGCGACCGTTCCCTGAGGACTGAGGACTTGACACCAGCCATCCGAGGTCTTCTTTTCTTCAACACGGCGTCCCCGAAGTCCCGATCCTTTCCCCACGGCCGCTTTCTCATCCCGGGCCTGGGACCTGGCTAGGGCACCCAGAGCATCGCGGGAGTCGATCACGTTTGGGTCTGAGCCTGTCTGGGTTGCCTGTCGTGAGTCTCAGCATGTCTGCGTTGT